CAAGTGCTCTTATTTCAAAGTTTTCCATGTACAAATTTGCTATAGCAGGGGATAAAGGAGAACCCATTGCTGCTCCTTCCTTTTGTTTAAAGAAATCCCCTCTCCATAAGAAGTAAGTGTTATTTAAACAATGGCCAGCAAGTTTCGGAATATCTTTTGGTAAACCAGTATTCTTTACTAGTGTATCAAGTAATTTAAGCGATTCGTCCACTGGAACCTTAGTGAATAGAGAAATCACATCAAAACTTACCAGAATATCATCAGGAGTAAGTTTAATATCTTTAATCACATTCACAAGATGTTCTGAATTTTTTTATGAATGAAGATGTCTTACCGATGTAGGGCTGTATTTGTTTGGTTATATATTTTGCTAATTGATATGTGGCAGAGCCAATTGTACTGACTATGGGTCGTAATGGGATGCCGATTTTATGAATCTTTGGTAGCCCATAGAGTCTAGGTGGTTTTGAGGCCCTTGGCTTAATTAGGTATTGCTCATTTTTAGGGATTAATGAATTTGCAATTATTGCAGTGGTCTTACATTCTAAAGTATTAGTTTGATCTAGACTACATAATAAACAAATCCCTACTGAAAACCAAAAATTTAAAAACAAAACTGTACTGAACTTGACTAACACTGTATTAACCGGTGACATGGTCTCTATCCTTTCTAAAGGCCTTAACTTTGCCGTTACCCCACGCACAATTCCAGTGGATGAGATAATTGCTGAGGTAGAATCAGCAGTTAGACTCCTTCCACATAATGAGGCAGAGATGACTAGACATGAGGTTGCTAAAATAATTGAGAATAGCAAAGTTCCAAAAGTAAATATTAGCTCTAACGAGGCAAAAGCCTTAAGAGAGCTGCGTGTAAATAAGGATATCCAAATCCTAGCAGCTGATAAAGGCCGCACTACTGTAGTGATGTCACGAGCCGATTATGATAATAAAATTAGAAATTTACTAGAGGAAAGTACCTACATTAAAATTAAACGAGATCCAACTAATACTTTAGAACGTAAGACCACTGCAATAATTGCAAATTCATTAATCCCTAAAAATGAGCAATACCTAATTAAGCCAAGGGCCTTAAAACCACCTAGACTCTATGGGCTACCAAAGATTCATAAAATCGGCATCCCATTACGACCCATAGTCAGTACAATTGGCTCTGCCACATATCAATTAGCAAAATATATAACCAAACAAATACAGCCCTACATCGGTAAGACATCTTCATTCATAAAAAAATCAGAACATCTTGTGAATGTGATTAAAGATATTAAACTTACTCCTGATGATATTCTGGTAAGTTTTGATTTGATTTCTCTATTCACTAAGGTTTCAGTGGACGAATCGCTTAAATTACTTGATACACTAGTAAAGAATACCGGTTTACCAAAAGATATTCCGAAACTTGCTGGCCATTGTTTAAATAACACTTACTTCTTATGGAGAGGGGATTTCTTTAAACAAAAGGAAGGAGCAGAAATGGGTTCTCCTTTATCCCCTGCTATAGCAAATTTGTACATGGAAAACTTTGAAATAAGAGCAATTGCCTCGAGCACATTAAAACCATCCTTTTGGTTTAGATATGTGGATGACACTTTGGTTGTCTGGCCACATGGTAAAGATACACTTAATGATTTTCTAAATCATCTCAATGCACAAAACCCGGCCATCCAGTTCACCATGGAAATGGAGTTGAATAACACACTTCCATTCCTAGATATTTTGCTTGGACATGGCCTAAACGGTAAAATAACACACAGCGTTTACAGAAAGCAAACGCACACTGATGCCTATCTGAATGCAGAATCACATCATCATCCAGCTCAGAAATCCCCTCTTATCAAGACGCTCCTACATCGGGCTAAAACAGTGTCAGATGGTGAGAGTCTAGTGAGAGAGATTAAACACGTTAAAGACGCACTACGACAGAATGGCTACAATAATGCTCAAATTAACAGAGCACTGAATGCCAAATCACGATCGCAAAGCAATACTGCTGAAAGCGACCAGATTGTTAAAACAATAAAAATTCCATATATCTCAGGAGTAACTGACAAATTAGCCCGTGTTTTGCAAAAGCAAAACATTACAGTAAGATTTGGTACAGTACACAAAATTCAAAAACTAGTATCTTGCACTAAAGACGCATTACCTAAACTATCAACAGAAGGTGTATATCGGATTAATTGTTCATGTGGCAGCTGCTACATTGGGCAGACGGGACGTAACATCAGTGTAAGACTAAAAGAACATCAGAGAAATATTAAATTATCTCAAACACAACTGTCGGCAGTGGCAGAACATGCTTGTCAACAAGGACACTCAATTGATTTTGACAATGTTGCAGTGGTGTGTAAAACTAATTATTACTGGCAAAGACTAATTAGATAATCCATTGAAATTGAGAGGAACAAGAATAACTTTAATCGCTCTGACAGCTACCGGCTTAGTGTGGCCTGGAAGCGTATTATTAAATAATACACATTACATTTTGATTTAAAGAATTACTAATCTACAACTCATTACTAATCATAACCAATGACTGATTACTAATCGATTATATAATTACAATACCCCCCCCCCCCTCCGCCTCTAATCACTGCACCTGATAGGAGTTAAGTGATGACGTCACCCTGCTGCTCTATATAAAACCCTGAGCAAGCGAGGGCTTTACCATTCTGGCGAATTGCCCGATGATGCTGGATGTATTTACCAGCGAAACGTCGTACTCAAACTGTAAATGTGGATTCACTCTTCAACACACCGGTGGGCTAAAGTAGTGAATTATTTGTCTTTTGTCAACGTGACACTTTTTTTTTTGCTGATTGGCCGTGTCGGGTGGTGGAGGGTTACGACACATTTATAAATTAATGCGATCTAACCCAAAAAAACGTTATTATGAATTGACTTCTATCGTCGAATTTCTCTTTCAGCGTGAAGTGGTTGGGGCACGGTTTGAAGAGCGACGTGCATCCATTCGTGAGCACACTCGTTCTGAATGTGCTTATGTGGTCTGGTTTGTGTGTTCCATCGAGACAGACATCACCTACAATGACCCATCCTAGGTCGAGTCTCTGGGCGTAGGGAGCGTCGTGAGGTCTGTTGCGTTGATCACGAACCTTGTGGACTCTCAGCATGTCCCTGCCAAGCAGAAGTAAAATCTGTGCCGCGTGATCAATGGCGGGATGAACTCTGCTATGGGTTTCAGGTGTGGGTGGTGACGCGCGACTTCGGGCGTGGGAATCTCACTCCTGTCGTCCGGTATCTCATTGCACTCTGTCACCGTAGGAAGGGCTAGCTTCATGGTGCTATCCATGGTTTCCACCATGAGGTCGCTCGCTCTTCTTCCGGCTGTCTCCATCAGTCTTGAGCATGTTCTGAGCGTGTATGGAAACGAATTCCCACCTACGCTTAGCTCATCAAAGAACTCTGACCTTGCCAAAGACTTGTTGCTCTGGTCGTCCATTATGGCGTACATCCTTACTGTCCTTTCAGGATGTCCCTTGGGATACACTCGGACGAGGCATATATTTGAGCAAGATCTTCCTTTGAAGCCTTCTCCACAGACTTCTGTGCATTTGGTTGTGATTGACGAAGTGAGTGCAGCGGTCTCGCCTTGCTCCCCGCCGTGCTCTGCTTCGGGATCGGAAGCCTTAGTGCCACTGGGTTTGTAGTAAAATGTGTGCAGAACAGTTGCGTGTTTGTCACTGCCACATTCCTCGCACTTGATATCTGCCTTGCAATTCCTTGCAAGGTGGTTTGTAGAAGCACAGCGTTTGAAGCACACTACAAATTCTTTCAGAATGTTCTTCCGCTCTTCCATTGGCTTCCTCCTGAACTCATGGCATTTCTGGAGGGAGTGAGGTTTATCATGCAAAGGGCATTGCTTCTCTGGATCCTCTATATTTTTCTTTGTGGTGGTTGTCTGGACGGAGTTTGCGAATGTCGTAGGAGAGACCTCAGTCTTGTGTACAGAAATTGGCACTCTCGCTGTTCCTCGTTTCGCCATTGCTCTTTCCATTTTTGGGAGATCTGGACTGGAAATCCCCGTGGTGCCAAACATGAAACTCGGGTCATTTCTGGTCTTAGCCAGGTTGCGGATAAACTTTGAGAAAAAAGAGAATGGGGGGAATGCAACCTGATGCTCTGACTTGTATCTTGAACCTGCTGTTCTCCATTTTTCCTGCACATCGAATGGCAATTTCTCTACTATGGGGTTCACGCCATGGTAGGTATTCAAGAAAATGAGACCTGGTAAATAGGGGTCAGCCTGGGCTGATTCAAGCTCCATCAAAAGATCTCCAAGCTCTCGTAACCTTTTATTGTCCCTACCAGAGATTTTTGGAAAGTTCTGCAACTTCTTGAAGAGAGCCTTCTCAATAGTTTCTGGGCTACCGTAGCACTCCTCGAGCCTCTCCCACACCGCATGCAGGCTTGAGGCAGGGTCGTCAATGTTTGCTGCCCGGATTCTCTTTGCGTACTCTGTAGATTCGTTTCCTAACCATTTCACCAACAGGTCGAGTTCTTCACTTGCAGAGATGTCTGCATTTCGGATTGCATTCCTGAAGGTAGATCTCCAGGCTCGATAGTTCTCAGAGTGGTCATCAAACTTAACGAGTCCTGTGTTGATTAGTTCGCGGTGAGCCAGGTACCTAGCAAAGTCCCCAAATCCTGCTGATCCAGGGTGTGTCCATACTGGCGCTTGTGAGGTGCCATTATTGGCTGCATTGCCTTGCATGCCGTCATTCGCGATGGTGTTGGATTGTGGGCCCAAAAGGTTTTGATCACGTTGGTTTGATCCCCTTATGTGACTGTCTGGAATGTGGGTTGGATTGTGGGCCCAAAAGGTTTCGATCACGTTGGTTTGATCCCCTTATGTGACTGTCTGGAATGTGGGTCTGACGTGATGCATCCATTTCTGATCCCACATGTGCGACACTGAGACGACGACTAGCTGCCAGGGCAGGATATGCATTTCCACCATTCCCTTAGACAGCATTCATGTTCATTTGGTGTGGAGATGGCGATGCCTGAACGTCCACCATTTGTTCAGTATCGTTTGGTGGAGGAGCATTGATGCATTGTTCAGACCAGTCGAAAATATTTTTTCTGGTGAGTTGATCACGGTCCTTGACAGGTATCTGAGTGCCAAACTCACTCCAATTCTCTTCCTTATCCTGATTGGCTGCTGCTTGGAGCACCTCTGCTTGGGCCCTTGCAGCAGCTGCTTCTTTTTTGAGCTGTAGGGTACTTAACTTAGCATCCAGCTCAATTTTCTTCCGTGTGGCAGTAGCCACTAATATACTCTCTTGCTCTCGTGCGGCAGCAGTTGCTAATATACTTTCTTGCTCTGCGTGCTCTGCTTTTCTCCGTGCGGCAGCAGTTGCTATGCTTGCTTCTTCTTGTATGCAGGCCTTTTCAATTAGCATGGCTTGCTCTCCAGCCATGTAGGCAATACGGGCATTTGCTGCTTCTGCTGCTGCGCGTGCCTGAGCTGCTGCCATACTAGTAGATGATGTCTTTGAGTGTGCTGAGCCTTTAGATCTTGTGGTGGACCTGGATGAGACAGAGTGCTGAGATCGGGTCTCTCTTAAGCCCTCCACATGGTCTATTGCATCTTGTATCACTGCCTGTACATTATCATCGAGCAGTTCGAGGAAGTTCTCTTGCGTGCGCACTCCCTCAAGGCCCTCATCTGTTTTCATCTTCATCAGGAGGGAGATGTATTTATTTGCCAGGAGCTTGTAGCTTGAGCTGCTCACCTTCACTCGCTGGATGGCCCGCTGAATTGAGGCCACTGTGTCTGAGGCATTTGCAGCTTCAGATATATCAGCTTCAACCCCGTCCCATGCCCTTTGTATCCTGGCATCAAGGTCTTGCTTCTCAGCATCATAGCTTTCCAAGGCCTGTTGTGTCAGCCTGACCTCTCTTTGGGGCCTTGAACTTCCTTGGTCCTCTTGTGGCTGGATGGGAGGTCCTGGATTGCCTAAATCACCTTCTTCAGCATCTCTCCCTGCTGAACTGTGGCTTTCCATGCTGAGATGCTTGCAACACAATTTTTAATGTAGACTCGTTGCAGAGCTCCTTGCTTGCTGCAGGCTGACTGCTTGAGAGCTCTTTTGCTTGCTGCAGGCTGACTGCTTGAGAGCTCCTTTCTTGCTGCAGGCTGACTGCTTGAGAGCTCTTTTGCTTACTGCAGGATGACTGCTTGAGAGCTCTTTTGCTTGCTGCAGGCTGACTGCTTCTTGCTTGCTGCAGGCTGACTGCTTGAGAGCTCCAAGAAGAATGTCTTTTTGCTATCTCGGCCTCGCTCTGCGTTGCGTTGCAGAGCTAGCTGAGTAGATAACCTCGCGTTTCCAATAAACCCTCAGAGCCAGGGTGAACATCTGCCTCCGAACGTCATTTATTGAAATTAAACGGTAGAGAGGTAAAACTGGTAAGAAAACAGCACAGATACAGCATCTGTTAATACCCAGAAAAACCAACACAATGAATAAACACCACAGCATCATAACGTTGTCTTATGAATGAGACATTTTGTTATTTCAAGTTTGAATCTACTTACTCGATTACGGGTAAATCACAACAAGGCAAGCTGCAGGCTTTATTGTCCACTAGGCCCCACATACATCGTAACAATTTAACAGCATTATACAGGTTCTAGCGTTATAACAGCATTATAAAGGTCCTTCTAATATTATAGCAACATTGCCAGTATCATAAGAACACAAACGAACTTACAGACAATGCTTCCCAAAGTCCCACAACGGTGGCTGCAGCTGTCTTTACGGAGCTGCGATGTGTGCCGCCATCTTGAATTATGTTTTTAATGGCCGACGCCCGCGTGGTTCAGCGGAAATCTAAAATCGCAACTTCCTGGTCACGTGACCACCCCCTATTTCAAAAACAGGAAATTCCTGTGTACACACGCCCCACATCTGCCGTGAGGCAAGACAGTTGCCGTGAGGCAGAACAATGCGTGTATTTACTGATATGAAACCTTCTTCTTTGGTTCTTTCGGTAAAGTCACGTAGAATGAGAATAAAATAATAAATTTATAAAATAAAATAACACAATAAAATTATCACGACGTTTCGGCCACAACACAAGCGGCCTTCATCTTGTGGCCGAAATGTCGTGAGAATTTTATTGTGTTATTTTATTTTATCAATTTATTATTTTATTCTCATTCTACGTGACTTTACCGAAAGAACCAAAGAAAATGAATCCTTGCAGTCACGAAAGCTTTAAATCGAGATATGAAACCTTACCCACGGGTGGGGATGGTAATCTCTCCACAGGTGTGAACACAACCTAGGTTGGCCCTTCGCGCCCACAGTGAATCTATACTTTTCCCACCTTTTTATGAACTCTTGCGGCATGGAGTGTAGATATATCCGGCCGTGTCTCGTCTGGTCTGATAGAGGGAGATCGCTTTGTGCACAATACAAGTTACTTGGCGGTGGCCCCTCTGCGCACAACATGCACAATGCCTAAAGTTGGCTCCTTGCCCGACGTACATACCCCCCAATACCCCCTTCCACCCGAGGTTATGCAGCCTTCCCACGGCTCAGGGAGACGGCTCCTCGAGGTGAAGACCCTGTGCACGCCTCGCTGGCGGCAGGGAGGGTTTTCTAAACAGAGGCACTCATTCGGGCCGAGCCCTCTCATAGAGTTAGCTACCTGGCTAACAACAACAGTCACCTGCACACCCACAATGCACCACCAACAATATGAAGACCAAGACGACACGGACTACATAACATTTTAATCTCTTACCTCGGCTTTGGCTGGGCATAGACGAACTTTCTGGGGTGACTCGTCCCTGGTGTGCACAGCGTGGTGGCACTAGAATCCAGGTGAGCATTCCTGAGGAACGCTTCGCCTTCTTGTTCGTCCACGCATCGCCACTCTCCAGCGTGCCCTCCTCCAAACTGTCCCGCTCATGCCCTGTGCCTCCCCTTCATAGTTTACGCACACCATTGGCCCTAGCACCCTGAATCGCTACCGATAGGGAAGGGAGGGTACAAGATTTGCAGCGACAATCACGTAACCCCGACTCTCCACTTCCACCCTTTCCCCGCCTCACTTAACCACCTGATAACTTTCAATCAACTTTTGAATTACTACCAGGTGAGAAGCCGTCGTTCCCATGGGCTTGGGTGCAGCCATTTGCATACTTCTGCTCGGGAATGCCACTTATTCGATCATCATTCAGCCTCGTACATTAGGAAAACACATAGTCAGGCCTCGAACTTGGGGTGACTTGGCCTAAAAACCTTTGTCCGAGATGTGCGAGATGGCGTTCCGAGCATTAACAGAGTGAGAGACCCGTAAACAACGTCTCCCATATTACGCTTGTCTCTCCATCGCCAACACAGGTTCCTTAGTCCCCTGCCGTATTGTGTACCCATTTACATTTGTATGGCTGCGATAGTAATTATGGGTATACGCTTTTGTTAATATGCTACCGCTGCACCCCCTGGGGCAACTGCCTCACCCACATCTACAAGTAATGTGCAGCGTTCGGCATATGGCTCCACAACAGTGCAGGAAGTGTGAAGCAGTGGCTCTGAACCTTTGTTGGATACAACTGTTACCCCCCTTTGTTTCAACAGAGTACCTCCTTGCCTGACCCAACGTGGTTCTGAGAAATAAATGTTTGAATAATGAACGTCAATATTTAAACCAAGCATACGTTTTGTGAGGTAACCTAGCTTGTTAATAACCGCAAGCGAATAAAAAAAATGCAATGGAAGCTCTGCACACGTGACGTAATTTGTTCGCGATGTGGTTATCCTTTGAAACCTAAATTGTTTGCGTACAATGATTTTAGAAAGGTATTTTATATCGTCCTTTGTTATGATAGGTTACTATCACAATCCCCTCGTTCAAGTTGATGCTCAAGTGCAGAGGCAGGCTGTCAGGGCCAGCAAGGCCTTCTCTGCTTGGCTAGAGATTGTTAGAATCATAAAATTATATTTTTACAATTTAACATACATTTTCATTAATGCTATATGTATTTTACAAAGTTCGTTCCCATCAGTCTATTAACGTCATTTCATTGTTGCTCTGCTTCCAGTGGAGCTCATAAATTAGAGCTTTTATCCAATCTGATTTTCCACCTGTGCTGTCTCCACCTCTCCGGGTGAATAAATCTACCCTGAGGCCATCAGAATGTCGAGTGAATCCCTTATGCTGTTGAAGAAAATGGGGACCATGTTGTTGATTGTCATATTCTTGAACAAATCAGATTTCGAGTTTGCAATGTTGGGCGTATTCTTAGACACACAGGAGCCTTCTAGCTGGCCGAGCCACCTTTGGTAGCATTTTTCGCGTGGCGTGATCAGAGGGTCAGGTAGCTAACTGAAGTAAAACTAGCTAAGATTTATTATAAAAAAATCTATACGTTCATTCAAACGTTTAGATTTTTAGATGTAGTGCTTTAGATGTTTTTTTTTATGGGAAAGCCTGTTGAATCCTGATTGTGTTATTTGTGTTTTTACAGCATTTTTGCTTGCTTGGTGGTCGCATGAGTAAATGTGACTGGTTGTTGTGAGTTTCTTCTTGTTTCCTCGGTAATGACATTGATTTGGGCTATGCGATGTCTATTTGTGATGTAGCATCTTGTCATACTGCGTAATAGTGGTACATCCTTGATGGTTTCAGTCACCATGTATTTATGTCTCTGCAATTAGTGTATTGTAACTCTCATAGGTGTTGAGCCTCGTGTTAAATCACTTTATTCCACTCGATAAAGGTTACTGTCACTGCGAATATGGGGTGGTTACGTCGAATGACAATAGCCTATAGCCCTAGCGTCATGGTGAGGTTATTCGAAGGTGGTTTAATTGCGGGAGGGATGCACTGAAGGCCTAGGTGTAAAATACACGGTCCGCCACTGCTCAAGTGGCTGAAAAGAAGTGCAGCACTCGAGTGTAGCTAGGGCCTTGTAGTCTTTTTATCAGTCAAAAGTGAGCAGTAGCACTCTACAAATGTTCACTCACGGCTGCCAAGTTCAAAAGTTTTTTTCCAGGTAGGTATCCAAGGTGCTCCTGATCGCTCTGGGACTGTCACTGCTCTCCCCATTATGGCCCGGGAACAACTCGTCCCCACTTCAGTAAAGCTATTTCCTCTCTCCCCCTCCTGGCTTCCCTCACCGTCTCAAAGATAAAGCATATGTTATTATCAGAGCATGTTTGTATGATTTGTCACAAGTATGTGTGGTTGATGCACGACTTGATGCCTTGCAACAGGTGTCTATTTGGTGTTTGAACATTTTGAGACCCGTCTTAATGCCAGAAAGGGTAAAGCCTATTATAGTCTTCATCATAGAACACAACTCACCACGTTTATATTGTACCGTGTATACACGTGCACGTGTTTGATGTATCGGTGTGTTTTGTATGAGCAAGTGCTTTTTACACTAAATGGACTATATAAAAAACACGAGTTTCTTACAATAGTTTTGCGGTAGGTTATACACTTTATTTGAAATTAGTTCAAGGATAACCAGCACTGATTATTCCATGGAGGTAATCGTAAAATAATAACAGATGACTGCTTTGAAAAATTCCGCGATCTGCAAACTCAAAGGCACATGGGAAAACTGTAGTTTAGTTTACAGATTTGTTTCCCTAATACTTTGCACTCTTATCGTGTTTTGTATTGCTCATTGTAACGTTCTTACCCGCCCACTATTGGACGTCTGTGAAAAAGAGCCTTATACCTTATCGGTTTCCTCTTGTCATATAGATTTTTCCGATTATGTAATACGACACTCCCTCCTTTTCTGTTATGTTACCCTACATCAACCCAAGCATTATCAGAAAGTATTGCGAATGTAAATGTTATTAACATTGTCGAGTGTTTAATATATACTTTGCACGATACAAATGTGTAAAGGAAAGGGTTTCCTGAAATTCTAAGATGGCATCAAACTGCGCATCATGTACTGTTTATAGCGGCCTCCTAGAGTTAATTTTCTGATTATCAACAATTTGAAAGCAGCTAAAACTCAGAAAATGAGCTCTAGAATTCGTCCTTACATGTCTCTCATGGAGAAGTGTTTTTTTGTGAAAAAAAGGAAATTGATGCGGGTGTCAATAAAGTTTATGAAATCATGAA